ATTGGGGATACTGATCTCTTCCCCTTTCGGTGTGACTGGTAGGGTTTGTTTGAACAAATCTTCTAAGGTGTCCATCCTTGATCAAATCTTAAATTTATCTTTTAGGATCGTGCACTCTTCTGTCGTATAGCCCCTATTACGATGATATCGGCAAAATTTGCTCTTATCTGCCCGAGGGGGAGTGTTAGCCCGCCTGGGCATAGTTAAGATTTCTATTGCTAGGGCCTGATCAAGTATCCTGGATCTGTTAGTATTAAGTGTGATGTATGAGGGGTATTTAGGCACCCTGGGTGGCCTCTCAGGCTCATCCTTTCTTTTATTTTCTTGCTGAAATTTGAAAGTTTCTCTCTTCTCTATGTTTTTTGAATTGGACCCTTGGTCCATCCGAATTTGATTTCGGTACTAGGCTAATTCTTCCATCTACATATACTTTGCTACTCGACTCCTCAATTCATCCAAATCAGCTGGTGATTTTTTGCAAATACTGTTAACGAAAGGCCCAGGCTTAAGAGCCGTTGTAAGGTGGTGCATGGCCACGGCTGGTTCCAGATTGTGGATGGAAAGGGTCACTTTGCCAAATCGTTCCATGAACGCTCGAAGTGATTCTCCTTTTTCCTAACAAATGTTGACATGTGCTAGGGATGTTAAGGAGTGAGGTCGGCTTGTGGCGAACTGCAAATTGAACCGTCTTGTGAGGATTGTGAAGGAGTCAATAGATGAGGGAGAGAGTTGAGTGAACCAAGTGAGAGCTGGTCCTCTTAGTGAAGTGGGAAAAATCCTACACCATAAGGAGTCATTCTCTGTGTACAGGCCAACCTGAGTTGTGAAAACATCAAGATGTTCCCCGGGATCATTTGTGCCATCATATTTTTCTATTGTTAAGCCTTTCCAGTTGTCAGATAGTTTAGCATCCAAGATATGTTGAGCAAACGGGTTTCGGCTCACTACATCATCTCAATCATTTTTGGTTTCAGATTGCTGAATTAGTCTCAGTTTCTCTTGTAACGCCGAGGACTCTCCCTGATCCTGGGCGAGAGGTGTAGTTTGAGAAGGGATAGGCGTTCTTATTTCTTCTCTTAAGTGGGTGTTTTCCCTTCTAAAAACTGAAAGCTCCAGGGCATCTTTTTTCCTTTCCGTTTTCATCTCCATTATTTCTGTTTTGAGCTGCATCAACATTGCTAAAAGGCTCTCATCGGTTCGTCCTTCCACCAGAACCTCAGGTGTTGGTTAGGTAGGAGTGATATCTTCTTGCTGTTGCCGAGAAGTTCCCCCTGCTGAACATGTCCGTCCTGTTGGCTTCTTGTTAGTACCATATCGATCAAAATAGCAAGGCAATCGTGCCTCACGGTGAGCGCCAAAATATTCCTGCTAGGGAAATACTAGTCTTCAAGTCTTTGCTCTGAAGTGATGACGTCCCTCTGACTGTTGCTGACGTGGAGAGGGTACCTGCAAAAGGCACTCCGATGCTGAAGTCACGATTCAGTTATGAGCAATAAATGCTATTTAATAATGAAAGTTCACCTCTTACATGTACTTCTTATCTTCTTTTTATAGGTATTATTATAGGCTAATGGGCCTGCTGAGTCAACATTGATTTTAGCCCTTTGCTTAAAGTAGATAATGTTATGATTATTACCCTTAATTAGGTTAATTATCTTTTAATCATGACAAAAAAGTATTCGGCCAAACTGGACCTAATAGGTACTCAATTTCTTTTTTCTATATGTAGGACCGAGCAGTTTTCTATCTAGTACAACGAAAAAAAACTAAAATGATTTTTAATTAATAACTTAATTCATTTATTTAGGCTTAAATTTATCTTTATAAAGTTCAGTGTGTTTCCTCCAATCGTTTTCGAATGACTACTGTCGTGTCCGTCGTCATTTGTCGCGTGCAAAGTTCACTGCTATTCTTACTTATTTATGAATTATCATGTGTAAGATAATTAAAGTGCATTACTTCAGGTTGTCGGCAATTAATTAATTGCATATGTTAATTAGCTAGTGGCTAATTAATCTTTAAAGTCTATATACATGTTAATATGAAGTTATAGAGTTTCTTATAATCGAAATTATTAAAACTTTTTAAGTATATATTATATTTTTATATTTATTTAACATTGTTAAACCCTCCTACTTAATGGGACACGTAAAATAGGAATGTTGAAAGTTGAAAGTTGAAAGTGGCGTGGAAGTGTTTGTTTCACATACGAAGACTTGGAAAGTATGAACGAGGACGTGAGTGAGGGAAGGTTCAGTTTCTTGGTAGTAAGGGGCATGGGATGAACCGTCTCGCTTAGCGAACGAATGAGGTCACTGTTTTTGTGGATTGTTGTCTCTGTCCCACAAATCAAATACAGATGTCGTTGCTTTTTGAATCTTCAATTTCAAATCACGAAGATTCATGGTAACTGCAGAAGAAGAAGATGCTGTCATCACCATATCAAATTCACCCACATTTCTCGTTCAATAACATGTATGGAGATATATGACTAGTTTTAATTAGAGTTTGTAAAACCATGTATATTTACGGGAATATTTTTTTTTTTGGATGGTGAATTGACTAAAACGTCAATAAGTGTTTGAAATTTATGGGGTTGATGTGGTGCATATGCTTAAAAGGCTTTTCCGTTGCATAATGATGATGTGATTAGATAGATAATGCATTGATTATTTGCAATTTTCAAGATTGATGTCCCAAGACCTCTTTAGCTGCCAGTAGAAAACATGAGAAATGAAATCCAATTAGTTTGACTTTTGCTGTTTCTCCTTATAATTGGATGGTTGCAAAAGGAAAATGCTTTATGTACTATTTTGGACAAATATAATAATATTATATGTGATATTAAATTTTAATGATTATAATAATTTTATTTTGCAACAATTGATTTTGGCTACTTGTTTGCCCTAAGGAAGATAGGGAGGATGCTTCACAAGGAGAAAGTGGCACTAACATTGCTGCGAATGTTTCAAATGCAACAACAATCATATCATAATTAACTACCCACACATTCAATTCAAATTTCCAACCTTGCCAAATATTACTGTTTTTGTAGTCAACTTATTTTTTAAATTAAGTTCAAGCATTCAAAAATAATAAAATTATAAAAATATATATTTTATAAAATTACAAAATTTCTTCGTAACTATATTTTATCATTGATATTTTTTATTAACATTAATTATTATAATTAAGTATTAAATATTTAAAATTATATTTTTTAAATATAATTATTATATAAAAATATAACAGATATTTTTAATTAATTACTGTTATTATTTTAAAATATATTTTTTCCAAAATATTATAACAGAGTATTTTTATTATTATTAAGATTTAACTTTTTTTTATTTTTAATTTAAACTTTCATCATTCTATTTATTAAAAATAAGTTTAAAAAGATAATAAATACTTTATAAAAACTTCTATGAAATATATTATAATTAATAAAAATTACTATTTTTTTATAAATACAAAAATTCAATGCAATTATGCATTACAATAAGTTAATTTTACTTTAAAAACTAAACTTACAAATAGATTGAAAATCATTTTTGTCTTAAAATTTATATTTAAAACTAATTTAAAATAAAAATAAATTTAAAACTAACTTAACTTAAAACATTAAATTTTAAAATGATTTAAACTAAAATTAAATATTAAATTAAATCTAAAATTTAAAATTTATTGTAACCCAATTTTTAAAAAAATATATTTTAAAATATTATTTATATAATTAGTTATGTGATAGATAGACAATATAAAATAGAAAATATAAATTTGATTTTAATACAATATGAAGATAAAAATATAATTTTTAATTTATTAAAATATATAAATATAATTTTATATTAATTATTATAAATTTTATTTTTTAATATAAAAATTCAATAATATTATAAACATTTTTATAGTATATAAATATTAATATGATTAGATTTAAAATTTAATTTAAATTAAATTAAATTTTTAAAATCTTTTAAAGTTATATATATATATATATATATATATATATAATTAAATTTAAAATAAATCGGATTAGTTTTACTCAAATCTAATCTTTATTTGCTCTTACTTTTACTTGTTTTGTTTTTGAGGTTCAACTCCTCTGTTTATATATATATATATATATAATGTATGATTGTTTTGTCCGACTAAGCATTAAAGTTAATCCACCCTTATCCATCTCCTTGTATTCTATTTCTAAACAAATCTGTTAACATTATTTCTTAGCTGCTTTAAAGTAATTAAAAACAATAAAATTTCATTAAACAGCTTTTAGAATATTTTTATTATGATAAAAATTTAAATAAAAATATTATTTTAATTGGCAACAATCAGTAGAAAGGAATAATGCTAATATTTGTTTCGTTGTAAATCTGAATCGTCACTCTTAAACGAGAAATTTTTTAATAATTATTTATTAAATCATAAATTTTCTTGTATTGAATATTTAATTTTATTTATTTTCGACCTTACACTTTTGTACTTTTTAAAATATATTAAATTTGAAGATTATTATTATTTTAATCAATCTTAATAAAATTAAATTTGAATTTTAATATACCATATTATAAAGATTATACATCTTTATTCAAATATTTTATTTCTATATATATTTTTAATTTTACCTTTATTTATTTATTATTAATAACACAAATATAAATTTTTATTTATAAATTTATTGAAATTGTTAATAATTTTAATAAATAAATAAATATATATATATATATATATATATATATCTCAAGAAAAAGCAAAAAAAGAAAATAAAAGTGAAAGAGGAGTTATTATTGAGATAATCAAAGAGGTCAGCAAAGGTTGCTAATTAATTATTAGTAATTAGTAATCACTATACATAATTAGTTTAGGGTGAATACAAGGTAAGACGAAAGCGGGCACACATGTGGGAAAAAGAAGTGTCCAGGTTCATCCTCCTGAACCAGTCTCTGTCGAATCAAGCCTTTAATATAAAAACCCAAACTCACCTCATTCTCAGCAACTCAGCTCAGGTTGTTGTTTAAGGATCAGCATCAAACCAGTGCGTTGTGGAATGACCCTTATGCCCCTGTTCATCCACTAACAACTCCTTTTTGCTTCATAAAAGCACATTCCCAAAAGGGTACTCATTCCCAACTCACAACCCACCAAGCCTTCAATGGCGTCCATGTCCACCGTTTTCGCCAAAACCTCTTTCCCCTCTCATTCTCTCTCCAAAACCTTCGATAACCATTTCGCCCCTTCCCGCAAAGTCAACGTTTTTGTCGGAACCAAGGCCAGGAACCACCGGGGCCTTCGAGTTTCGAACGGGTTAATCGAACCCGATGGAGGGCAGCTGGTGGAGCTTCTGGTGGAAGATTCACAGAGAGATTTGAAGAAGGGTGAGGCTTTTTCGTTGCCAAGGATAAAGCTCTCTAGGATTGACGTTGAGTGGGTTCATGTCCTGAGTGAAGGATGGGCCACACCACTACGCGGCTTCATGAAGGAAGCTGAGTTCCTCCAAACGCTTCATTTCAACTCCCTACGACTCCATGATGGGTCTGTGGTGAACATGTCAGTGCCAATCGTTTTGGCTATTGATGATGCCCAGAAGCATCGGATCGGGGATTCCAAAAGGGTTGCTCTTTTCGATTCTAAGGGCAACCCTGTTGCCATTCTCAATGAGTAAGACACTTCTCTCCCATGGTTTTTTCTTTCTGTTTTAGTTTGGACCCCGTGTTGCTTTAAACTTCAATTAGCATGCTTTTTTTTTGCCTTTTGCTGTGGCAAATTCGTAACTTCAGTTTTATTTTTGTGTATTTGATTGGAAAGGAGGGGAATTAGGAGTTGGAACTTTTAAGGTTTTAATATTTTCTATAATTTTTTCTATTTTATTTCTTTTTTCAAATAAGAATAAGAGAAAGTCATCAAATTAGGAGTACTAATTGTAAAAAAGGTACTATAGTGGCACAAAAATTTTGCTTGTGAGAAAGGTATGCTTTTGTGGTCTTCTCATATATGCAGCTGTTGTGAATGTGATTGATTTCTTCAGTTATGTAATCAATTATTGAGAACTGGAGTTTTTGTTTTTTTTTGTTTGCGATTGCGTTTAATACTGGGAAAGGGGGAGGGTCTGAGGGTAGAGATACGAAAATTAGGAACGAATGTGCTGGGTATTATTTATTTTCGTACGTGTTTCTGTGTCCTTGTTCAATTCCTTTTCATTTTGCATTGTAGTGCTATGGTTGGTGGGATAGTCAACCACTCACAGATTGCCGTAATGGAATTTGAGATTGTTTCCACTATGGTCGTTGATTGCCCCCGTTCTTTTGTTTTGCATTTTTCGTATAAATATTAATCCAATCTTATTGAGGCATATTAGGTTCCGATTGCACCTGATGATTTTTATTGAAAAACTTAAATATAAGAAGATCGAGATAAGAAAGTTTAAATAGCATGTCGTGAGGTGTATTCAATCGATAAAGTATTTGTACGGACATATATGTACATGGTTTTGTGGACTTTATTTCCTTTTTGTGGTCCCAGAAAAATACTTAACAAAAACAGATTGTATTTTGAAATTCCTGTTGCAAAATTACCACCAGATTAACAAGTTTGATCATGCTTCTCAGGCTAAAAGGGATGTTGGTGTATAGGTTCTTGGAAAATGAAGTTCCCATGCCTTATTCATATTGACACGTAGTAGTAAGACATTCATGACCAAACATGCACATAATTGGATAATGCAAAACTGATACGAAACTTGACCTAAGATAATATGGTTTGACAAAGTACTAGACATGATTTTATAGATCAATAGGAGTCTTACACCTAGCAGAATTTTGGTCTGCTATTGTAGTTTCTTGTTGATTTTTTTGAACACCTTTACTGTGTGCTTGATAGTTATATCCATTACGTGGGATTCATGATTTATTCTATAGTCATTCTTTCGAATTGTTTCTTCCTTTCCTATGGCTTATATTTTTCTTTGGGTTATTTCAGTATTGAAATTTATAAGCACCCTAAAGAAGAAAGAATTGCCCGAACATGGGGGACCATTGCCCCCGGCCTACCTTATGTTGAAGAAACTATAACTAATGCTGGAAATTGGCTGATTGGGGGTGACCTTGAGGTTATTGAACCCATCAAATACCATGATGGGCTTGATCATTTTCGCCTGTCCCCCACAGAACACCGTGCCGAGTTCACAAAACGCAATGCAGATGCTGTGTTTGCCTTCCAGCTCCGGAATCCTGTTCACAATGGTCATGCATTGCTAATGACTGACACCCGTAAACGACTTCTGGAGATGGGCTATAAGAATCCTGTCCTCTTGCTCCATCCTCTGGGAGGATATACCAAAGCTGATGATGTCCCACTTGATTGGCGAATGAAACAACACGAGAAGGTATGTGTACCAAACTGAATACTGGGTCCCATTGTTGGAGCTATGTCACTTTCTTCACTTTTTCTTGTTTTGATTGTAATCCCCTTGGTTTCCTACTTTTCTTCACGTGGCCCCTATTCTATGTAATGTAACAGTGACTTGCCCCCAAATGCTTCAAATTGATGCTTTTCACCAGAAAAGTTCACTTGTATCCCTTGGTCTTTCTTTAGGTACTTGAGGATGGGGTTCTTGATCCAGAGACAACTGTTGTATCCATATTCCCTTCTCCCATGCACTATGCAGGACCCACCGAGGTGCAGTGGCATGCAAAGGCTAGGATTAATGCAGGGGCTAACTTCTACATTGTAGGTCGTGACCCCGCAGGCATGAGCCATCCAGTTGAGAAAAGAGATCTATATGATGCCGACCATGGGAAGAAAGTATTGAGCATGGCACCAGGACTAGAGCGTTTAAACATTCTTCCTTTTAGGGTAATTGAGAATTCACCTTCTCACTAATACAGTGATGTTCGCTTACACCACTTTATATGTGTAATGATTATGTCCATTCATTGCAGGTTGCTGCATATGACAAGACTCAAGGTAAAATGGCATTCTTTGATCCTTCAAGGCCTCAGGACTTCCTCTTCATATCAGGCACAAAGGTATGCTTATACTTTTAAATACGAAACCTTAATTTTTGTTTCAAAAGAACATTAGTCCTCTCATTGTGATAGTGACAATCTTCTTACCTATTTGTAGTATTATGTTAATAAAGGTTACTTTGCATTTACAGATGCGCACGCTTGCAAGGAACAAAGAGAGTCCTCCAGATGGATTCATGTGCCCTGGTGGCTGGAAGGTGCTGGTTGATTATTATGATAGCTTAGTACTCTCAAGTAACGGCAAAGTGCCAGAAGCTGTTCCAGCTTAATGATGTATTTTAATGTGTATATCTGATGATTGGGAGAAACTTTAAACTTTACATATTCTCCTGCTACGACCCAGATTCCACAAGGATCTTCTGCCCCAAATCCTTTAATAATAATGAAAACTTTGGTTGGGGTGGCACCGGCACATAGACACATTGCCTCTCCCTTTATGTATGATCTCTTGCACCTACAGTGCAATTGTGCATGCTAGTTCTCTGTAATATAATGTGGTTGTGCTAAGGATTTGGTTTTACGGTATTCGTCTCTACACTTTTATTCATTATTGTTTTTGGCTTTAAGTCCTATTAATTCAATTTAAATCCATTTTAGCCATAAAATTGACAATACTCATGATTCTCTCATAAACTATGGTCCATTAACATCACCTACTACTTGGAAGCCTGCTGCCGTGCTACATTCTTAGTAAGTTATAAAGATAAATATTAGATACGCATCATTTATGAACTTATAACCACATTATTCCCACATGCGATTACTAAATATTTTGTGCTGTGTATGTCGCACGCTCAGGATATTTTGGGGGAGAAAGCAAGTTTTGTGGAGGATTAAATGCACAAATCATCACGTTGTAATAACAAGAATTATCAAAATAAATACATAAAATCACTAAAGCTTTGTTTGAGAGTTTGAAGAAAGAAAATCAAAGAGTTTGAAGAGAAAAAAAATTAAATCTCTCTCTTGTTTGAATGTTTAATATTGAGAGAAGAGAGTAATAAAGAGTTTAATTATATAAATAATATTTTATTTTTTATTTTTTATTTTTACAAAAAAATATTTTTCTTTCTCTAAAAATTATTTTTTTATTTTTTAAAATTTTTTTAAAAAAATTATCACTAAAAAAACTAACACTTAAAAAAAAGATAAAATTCTATTGTAAAATAGTATTAAAAAATAGGAGAGAGAAAATTCTAAAATAGAGAAATTCAAAATTAACTTTAGAAAATTTTTTAAAAATTCTAAAACTTTCTACTTCTAATTAAACAACTCTCAAATAAGATTAAAATTTTTTTAATTCTTCTTTTTCTCTCATTTCTTCTACTCTTTCCTCTTAAATCTAACTCTCAAAACATATTCTAAATGTAAAAGAAAGAAGAGTCATAAAATGGTGATGCAATGGAGAAAGGTATAGGAAAATTGGTGTAGTAAAATTTGTTACAGAAATTATAATTCCACTGCGTAGAAGCTCGTGGGCATAGAATACTAAAAAAAATTGGGATATACAACAAGATGGGGCCCAGTTATAATACAACTTGGCATACTCTGATATGAACTAATGTAGCGGGTCATGTATACGACAAAGCAATGGAAATACTCATTGAGCTGTTACGGCTCAAAACAAGTGTGGTAAAAAGGTAAATGACGGGTTAAGTAAAAAGGTATAGAATAATTTTACAGAAAGAAAAAGGCGAGAATCCAAAGCATACACTGTCGTAGTTTGCAACATTTGATCAACCATTGGCTTGACTAATACAGCGGTAGAAATTTTTTGACAAGATTAGATCGTATACTCAACACTTTGTTTAGTTTAAAAGAATTTTTTTTAAAAAAGAATTATAAAATAAGAAGATATTTAAGTTGTTTGGTATAAGATTAACGTGGGAAAAAAAGAAGAAAAGTGAAGTTTATTTTTATATCTAATAACATTTATTGTGAAGAGAAAAATTTTACGTGAATTTCACTTTTTTTTTTCCTTTATCATTATTTATTGACTATTTCAAACAATAAAAACAAATTTAGGAACGTATAAGAAGTAATAAGGAGAGATAAATTCAGGCATTGGTAACCATCACAAGCAATTTGTCAATTGTATAATCATTTTACAACTCAATTTCTGCAAAACATAATGAATTTTGACTTAACTGCATGTTGGTTTTCAATCAGAATTGTTTTAGCCCAACTGAAAACTAACTAATATTACAATAACAGTAATAAAGATAACCCATCTGCATAAAAAAATTGTTCTATCGTTATCACTGCTTTCATCTATCAATTGAGAAGGAAAAAATAAACTAGTTACCTAATCCAACCACCTGGCATCGTTTCATAATCAATTTACATGTCATACAATAAAGCATTCACTTTCTCTTCCTTCTATCAACGGCAGGATTCCTCATCTCATTTTTGGCAAGAGCAGAGCCAGGGGGCATACCATACATTGGAGAATGAACTTGAGTAGATGTTGCTGTCACCGCAACACTTGTAGCAGGTACTGGTGGTAGTGCAGACACAACTTGAGTTGAAGCAGGAGCAGGAAGTGCAGGAGCAGCACTAGGTTCAGGAAGTGATCTTGGTAAAATGTGTTTTAGCCGATTGTTCCTATAGTTCTTCCAGAAGTAGAATTGTTGTCTATGCGCCAGTTCCTAAAATACAGCGAGAAATAGTATTTTGGACAATCCATAAGCCACGAGTAAGGCAAAGCAATTCTTCGAAGTTATTTGCTTCAAATAAGTGCAATGCAAGCCATCCGGATTGATCCAGGAATGTCCATAATTTACCAACTAGATTCACAATCTAAAAGTGAAATATGATAGGTATACCAGGGTGGCATTATACCTATCCCCTCACAATAAAATACAACATAAGACTGCAGGTTCCCCATTCCCTACAAAGAGATTGTTCAAATTAAATAGAATGACTTAAATAATACTGCCATTTACCTTATTGTTAGGATGTGCCATTGCATTGCGAAAATTTGCATTCTGAAGCAGTTCAAGAAAATAGAGGCAATGAGGATACCTAGCAATCATAAAAAAATAAATAAATAAGGATAGCAGCAACCCAGCTAGACTTGAGGAAAACATCACTGAAATATAGGAAGAGGCACAAAAATATGCCTGAACCAGTTCATAATCATAGTCACATGACTCACATTGATTTTCAAATCTCATGTATGCCAAGAATTTTAATCCACTTATGCTTATTCAAATAAGTCAGTGCCCTTCAGTAGAACTGTATCACATAATCTGGAATTTGAAGAAAATGCTTACATAATAAATTTAATATATTCAGGTCGTTGCCAATATTGAAGATACTTTAAGTATCCAATGAATGCTTCATCCTCAAAATATCGATTCTGAGCCAGATCTGTTCCAAAGAGTAACAAACATAAGAATAAGGTTAAAAATATAAGTAATTCACACACATAAAAATGACAAGGCATGCCACTTTTAAAAAATATATATTAAAAAAAAAAAAAACTAATTAAGATGAAGATAAGAAATTACAGAGAGTCGGGAGGATAAGGAAGCTTCCTAAAAAAATCAAAACACAAAACAACAAAGATAAAAGAAAACACAAATTGAGCAAGCTGTCAAATCCCTGAACATATCTGTTAGAGAAACCTCCTTAAAAGACCAAGTGCTTTATACTAAATAGAATCCAAATGTCTAATCTTGTCCTAAACAAGCTGTTTCAAAGACTACCAATTACTAGCAACATCCCTTTTTCACTACGTGCATTTCTAATTTTCCAACCAAACAAAATTCATAACCTTTCAAATACATCAAATGAAACAACCAACAGATGCAGCTATTGCTTAGTGAAGCTCAAACTCTCAAAGCGTATAGGTAAAGTGAAAAATCATACAATGGATGTAGGTAGGATTAGCAAGGCACTGAACAAACTCCAATTCAAGCAAAAACCGTTGTCTCCCATCATCTGGATCTTTGTATATGTTCTTTGGCCTGAATAAAATGCAACAACCATTATGCTCAGTTCAACACATCCCACGGAACCCAAAATCACACCTATTTTATATATAAAAGAAGAAATTCATCAAGCCGGGATAAAAAATTAACAGAACAAGAAAAGCCCTAGAAAAAGGGTATGCGCTTCAAACAAACACAACACCAAACCCTTTGTTTCTTATCAATTCTCACCTCCTCATGGTTGCCCACTTAACTTTCAATACATAAAAAACATTTTTTTTGAACCAATGCCAAACACAACCTCAATTTTAAAAATAAAATATCTAGGGCTATGACAGTGTGATGTGAACAAAGCATGGAGGCGGGGGGGGGGGGGTGGAGTGGAAAATTTTGCTTACGATGATGGAGTAGTATCGGTGGAATTCTCGCTTTCGTTTTTGGAGGCCATGGAATTGGTACCCTCCACTACAAAGAACAGCAACAAAACACAGTTTCAAACACGAACGATGGAGGGGTTGGAATTGCTATACGACCCTGCTCACTTTTGAATCAGAAATAGACACAGACATATGAATTTGATGCATGAATCTGGGTGTGGATTAATTTTTATTTTTATTTTTGGGTGTAGGTTAGAGTTTAGAGGCTTTTTTTTATTTTTTTGTTCTGCGTGAGGGATTGGGTTTCAGAGACTGATTCTGAGAGGGAGTGTGGTAGAATCTTCCGTTTACTTAAACGATAACTGTTTGTCACTTGTAATAACCTCGTTCATTATACCTAACACTTCGGTCTAGTGAATACTCTGCTTGCACATTGAGGGCATCAAAAAAGACTTTTTAATTTTTAAATTGAGCTGGATTTAAATTGACATGATACAAGATTATGTTTTTATTATGTTAATATTTAAAGACTCAGATTCGATCAAGTCATTTTAAGTCTGAAAGCTAGGCCCAAACCAGGATAACCTGATGTACAAACAAAATGTAAAAGAAAATAAAACAATAATAATTGTGTTTTCTTGAAAAAAAAATCTAAAAAATTAAATAATCAACCTTTTTTAGTTTCACACAACAAGAATAATTATCAAAGTGTACGTATATGTTTAGGAAAAAATAAACATAAGGTGGAAAAAGATAAAGAAAATACGGAGGACAATAAAAAAAGTATTGAGTTATGGATTCCGAAGTATGCAGAGCAATATTCCAAGTCAACTTGCTCCAAAGGATAAATGGAGGGGCAGGTATGCCTAATCTCTAGGAGAACAAAATGGTACAGTTAACAAAAGTTGGTACTAAACCACTACTTTTCAACTACTATAAAATGCACTAGTGCAAAATCACAAGAGCAATGAAAAATGGATGAAACAAGAAAGAAAAAACACGTTAGAGAACCACCTTCAGTTCCTTTCATCTGGGAAGTAAAGCCAGGCATTCCTAAGAAAGATTGGAAGCCACAGATATCTTCAGTTGACCAGTTCCCTAAAACTCCACTCAAACAAATAGCCTCAGTTCCCTTTGTTTGGGAAGAAAAACCTGGAAAACCCCTTCCTAAATTCTCACATGTATCAGTAGATCATGTGCCTCCAAAACCACACAAAATACTTATTCATGTAGCATCATCTTCAGGATACTCTATTGCATGCAACTATGGCCATGATGATGACAAACATAAAGAAAGCAGCATTGAGAATGTTCACCAGGGTGGAAGCTACAATAATGACAGTGAAAGCATAACTAGCTTGGACTTTGAAGCATTTAGTTTTGATGCTGACGAATCATTCAGCTCAGTTCCCTCATTACTTGCAAATTGTCTTGTGTCATCAACAAAAATTGCAACAGCTATTCCACTGCAGAAAAATTCATTGTGTAAACGTAACAGTGACCATCTCGAAACTCCATCTTCCCCAGCTTCCTCAGAGACAGATAGTAGCACAAGTAGTTATGCAACTGGCAGGTCAAGTCCAATTGGTGCCACTTTCCTTGAATGCCTCTTTCCTTTGTATCCACCTAAGTCTGGCTTCCTTGAAAGGGATGAGCACTTAGAACAGGTGTCTTCAAGTCTGGCTTCCTCGAAAGATTTTGATCATGAAGATTGTGTCAGTGACATGGTTAGGAGGCCACCAACACTTGGAGAGCTAATTATGATGAGTAGAAGAAGCTACGGAAGAAAAGCAGTTCAAATGAAAAAATGGGATCCACCAAAGGTAACAACATCCGACACCCCATTTTTTTCTTTCAATAATAATAATAATAATAATAATAATCAGGACGACGATCAATAAGGAACATTTCTTTACTTTACTACCTGAATATGCATGACTATAAGATTTTAGGACTCCCTCTAAAGTAGGAAATCTGCAATCTTATTTTATCAGGCCATATGGGACAATCTCTGAAATCATGTAATCCCTGTCTATATTGATTCCCTTTCAAGTGCGGTTAAATTGTAATGTGGTTATGATCTTGCAAAAAACTATATTTCAAACCGACTCGTACTCTTTTGCCTCTCAATGAATTGTGCAGAAAATCACAAGAAAGCAAGCTTTTGGATGCTTCTCCAGTGTAACCAGCAGCCATATGATTGAAGCATTGCTGAAGAGAAAGTACTTCCCTAGACTGAAAATGGCCTGGTCAGAGTAATGATGTAGTTGAAAAGAACAAGTACCAAGACTGTTCTCTAGACCATGATGCCCATCTGCCTCCTGAATATGGATTTTCTTTAAATTACTGTCAAGTCTTGTACAATTTATGGGTTTTCTTTGATGAGATTGCTTACATTGTAACATATCTTCAGGTTTTGCCTAAAACATAGCTGTACTACTCATTACTATATATTATAATTAAGACGTTGAACTTTACATATTTCCTTTGTCAGATTTTAATTGTATTAACGACACAAACGAAGAAATTATAAGATATACCTCATCCATAGTATAGAGCAAGAATAATCTACTGAAATGATATTACACTTCATGTTTTAAAAAATAATGAACTAGTACTGCACAAAAATAAAACTTTTTTGCTTTTTCAAACAGTCAAAACTACATTAATTTTGCTTCTTCAATAGAATCAGCACATTTACTATTTCGTAAATTGTACAACTCGTAATATGTAGCCCTTGATAAAGTTATTGTTAAACTAATTTTCAATTTCACAATTCATAGTATAAATAAGGGCACATTGGCTATTTAAGATTATACTTGAAGTAATCGTATCGTATATTTTTTCAGAAAAAAAAAATAGCCAGACCATATTCTACCGTATTACGGTAAAAAGAGTAATCATTCAACAGGTAATAATATTAATAACCAGTGCTGATAAGATATACAGTAGAAACTTGAGCTCCATAATACGTTCTATATCCATGTGGTCCATCCTCTATTCGTTCAAGGCATATAAAGGATGATGTATTGATCACCAAAAAAAAGTACAAAAAACAATTATCTTTTACCGAAACATCACTTTTGTCTGACACGAATCCTAAAGGTACATAGGTACCAGGGGTCAAGTGCTCTTGGATATAACATCTCCAAAACGAACAAACCATTGAGCATTGGATGAATTGTTATCTTGCTGAGGTTGTTGCGCTTCCAATTTTTGTTGTCCCTTCTCAATCACAAAATGAGTATAGTCAAAGTTCTTTGCAGGGGGAGCAAGGATTTTACTCGGAGGTGCAGGAAGTAGTGATACCAGCACCCTGGCTACTTCATGCATGGAAGGCCTCTCAGAAGGGTTCCTTTTCGTGCAAAGCAAAGCAAGCTGAAAGGTCTTCTTCACATGAGCCAGATCAATGCATGTAATGGAGACCTCTGGATCCACAGTCTCCATTACAGTGTTGTTATCTGCCTTTGACAATATCTGAAAATCAATGCTAAAATTAATCGAGATAAAACTTAAAGGCTTATTGTATCAACAAAGCTAAGAGTTTATGCATATATCAGCACTATTTTAACGACTGAGCTCCCCAAGATGACAATACTGTTCATACTAAATGTAACGTAAGCATATCAAAACTACATTATTATGACCCCTGCAAAGGGCTATTAACACAAATAAACAAAATGTATTCCTTTTTACAAAGGGTAACTACGATGACTATGATGAACCAAAAAAAAAGCTTAACTGCATGTAATATACGTACCAATTGATGCAAATTAGACTCGTTGTCCACTGCCCTCTTCCCTGTAAGTAGCTCTAGTAGAACAATGCCGAAGCTATATACATCTGATTTTTCATTCAGCCTAGATGTTCGAGCATACTCTGGGTCAATATAGCCTATAGTTCCAAGAACATAAGTTGATGCATGAGTTCTTGTGGTTGAGATACACTTTGCAGTGCCAAAATCAGAGAGATGAGCCTCAAAGTTCTCATCCAACAGGATATTTGAAGACTTTATGTCCCTGTGAACAATTCGAGGATTGCAGTCATGATGGAGATAAGCAAGTCCCTCAGCTGCTCCTACAGCAATCCTCAAGCGTGTTTCCCAATCAAGTTTTACCTTCAAGGGACCTGTCATACAAGGCAAGGCACAAAAGTTGAAACTGCATTGCAACAATGTGAAGAAATAAACAAACATGCATTTTTCAATCTTGACAAATAAAAATGTCCAAAGCAACACATTTAAATAAACAATTTTAATCCAAATAATCCAAAATCATCCGCCAAAATTAAGATGGAAACATCTTTAATTCAGCAAAATTACCATGAAGAAGATCCCAGAGTGAGCCATTTGCCATATAATCATAGAAAAGGAGGTTTCCATAGGGAGTGAGGGCATATCCATGCAAGGTGACAAGGTTTCTGTGTCTAATGCTGCCAATTGTTTCAAGTTCAGTCTCGAATTCCCTTAAATTGTGCGGATGCTGGTTGTACAATCGCTTAATTGCAATAGGTCGTGAACTCTTCAAAACACATTTGTATACAGTACTAGAGGCACCATACCCTATGATATATTTTTCATTGAGATTCTCAGTACTTCTCATTATATCATCCAAGGTGTGGATAGCCATATCCATATGAAGAATAACAAGTTTAGGAGGCCCTGAAAAGAAGCACAAAGTAACAAATCAATAAGAATTCAGGCTAACACTAAAATACTATAACATGAACGCTAGCAATCAACGTGCCTTGCCCAGTTAGGCTAGATCCTTTAACCAGTTGCTTCGATTGGCTGGATTTATAGAAAGCAACAATTACCATTGCCAACAACATCATGATACCCAGTGTGAGACATACAACAGCAACTCTTGAGAATATCTCTGAAAAATAAAACATCCAAATCAAGACCTCATTATATTTAAAAAACTCATCCTGTCAAGGCATTAAAATTGAATCACACCTCTTGATTTTGGTACGTAAGGACGACAAATTGATCCTACCCAGTTTCCACATAATAAAGGATTTCCGATGAAGCTGCAAAATGAAACATTTGGATCATTGACACATAAAAGACAGAAAACTACAAAAATACTAGGTTTCACAGAAATACCTGTCAGCTGAAAACCGAGAGAAGTTCCTCATTGAAGGAATTGCACCAGAAAGATTATTATACGAAAAGTTTCTAAAACACAAAAAAACAGAGAAAACAAAAAATCAGAGAATTCAACTTAGGGGTAAAACAAGCACATGAAGGTACAGGCTGGCTGGCAGGCACACTCACACGGAAGTAAGACTGAAACAGTTAGTCAGCTGATCAGGAATCTTCCCCTGCAAATCATTGCTGTTCATAATCCTATCACAAGTTCAAGGTAAAACAAATTAATGACCAAGTTATCCAGTAATTAATCAGCACTTCATGAGGCACAAAATATTTACAGTAAAACATACAGAGAAACAAGATTCTGCAGCTGTCCAATTTCTGAAGGTATGCTACCAGACAAGTTGTTGAATGACAAATCACTGGAAAAAGAATAAATTGAGCCTCAATGAAATCACAAATACAGATAACCTAATAAGAGATTGAATTTTCATCATCAGAAAAGGTCCAGCAAACCTACATTAATTGAATGCTTCTGAGATTCCCAAATTGGGCAGGTAAGGGCCCATCAAGGTGATTATAACTCAAGTTTCTGAAATTATGAAATGAAAATTTCACTCAACTGGGGCAATAGGGGACCCATTTATAGTATGATCACATGTTTTATTACAATTTAAATCTTACAGGGTCAGGAGATGCTCAAGATAACCAACAGATGCTGGTACATGCCCTGAAAAATTATTGCTTGACAAATCCCTAAAACAAAGTACAAAATAAACTGATCAATATTTGCCATACAATGAAAGTAAGCAGGTCACAATTCTTTGTCCAAATAACTTACAGTGTATCAAGATTAATGATATGCCCCAACTCAACTGGAATGTTCCCCTTAAAATTGTTTGTAGATAGATTTCTGGGTATCAAAAAATTTTACAATGGGATTTACTAAAAAGAGAAATGACCTACAACCAAAATAATATAAACACTACAAACAGTTTACAATAACATACAAGTACGTCAAACTCTCCAGGCTGCGGAAACTCAATGGAATGGATCCACTTAAACGATTACCATGCACATTACTGCAAAAATAAAAAAGGCAAATAAATGAAAAGATAACCCATGCTTGGGTATTGAAAATTACAAATATCCCAAGTATAAATAATGCTGGGAAATATTACAACTGATTTAAGGCAGTGCAGGAGCTGATGTTATGCGGAATTGATCCATCAAGAAGATTATTTGCCAGGTTCCTAAACAATATTTAACAAATCAGCTTTACACCACAGACATCAACAACTGTTAAAGGACGATGCAACAAAAGAAAATAAAACTCACAATTCAAAAAGATGTTCAAGCTTCCCTATTTCATCTGGAATTTTACCCACTAATTGATTGTCATTCAATTGCCTGGAAAAATTATAATCATTACTTACATACACCAGAAATTAATAAAATGATGAAAGGTTATTATTGATCAACTCACAAATAGCTAAGCTTGGACATATTGCCAAGTTCTGGAGGAATGGCACCAGAAAGCTTGTTTCCATGAAGGTACCTGAATAATTGCACAGCTCAAGCAATAACCAATATAACTAAAAGGAGTTTTAGTCGTGTGACCTGTAAGGTACACTCACAGTTTGCCAGTAAAAGTCAGATTGCCAAGTATTGGAGGAATTGATCCCTCTAATTCGTTTTCGCTCAGATCCCTACACAACAATGCCAAAATACAAGAAAACCCACATTTCAATTACCAGCGCACAATAAACAGAAAACTGAATTGGATCATCCGGCCATTACTTTGCAAGCATAAAAGCTATACTGACAGAAAGATTAAGTATGCTTACAATATTGCAAGGGCTTGCATTAAACCAATGACTTCTGGAATCTTCCCAGTTAACCTATTTCCTTGAAGTGACCTACGCAGAAAATGCAATGATAATGATCATCATTGTCTATAAAGAAAATAAACATCATAAAAAATGCAATGCGAGATATTCACAACATCGTTATCATTAGAATAACAAATCCACACCAAAGTACTCACAAAGTAGCCACTTGCAGAAATCCAATATTGTAGGGAATCTCCCCAGAAATCTGATTATATGATATGTCCCTGAACTCGATGAAATGATAGAGTGATGACGAAGCCAAAAAATATTGGAAACGAGATATTAAACACACCAGATATTAAAACTTACAAGATTTCAAAACTTGAACAGTTCCCAATGCTGTCAGGTATAGTACCAGTCAGATTATTGCCCCTCACATCACTGAGAACCCGTGGAAAACAAAAAGATCAAAAAAGATTTAAGGCAACAAGAAAAAACAGAAGAAAGACCACGAAGTGGCTGGGTTTGATTACTCACAAATACCACAAACCAGTTAATTGACAGATATCAGGGGACAAAGTTCCAGTCAACAAGTTCCCTCGCAACCCACTGCACAAATGTGCAATCACAATAAACTTTTTTCCAGAATAATTCAGAAACATCCTGGTACAGACGAAAATAACAGATAAAAAGATGAAACCTACAGATACTGCAAGACTTCATTCCAATAGAGAAGCCTTGGTATCTCCCCAGTGAGCTTATTTCTAGCAAGATCCCTGCAAACATGACAGAACAATTATCAAAACAAATTTATGGGCAGTTCATGCTGGGAGGCATGAAAAACAAATAGAAGTGTAATAAAAAACTACCATTTCCATCGCATGAGAATACGTCTGAGTTTGAAATACAAGGCCACAACCACTGAAATTCAAACCACGATAAAAAGAACAGAACTTACAGAGTCTTCAGGTTTGGAATTTGGGTTAAAGTTGAAGGAATTGGACCAGTCAATTGATTACTCTTTAAATTCCTGCATTCACCAATTCGACTCAGAACTCATCCACTAAGAACAGCACGACATATTGAATTCCTTATTCTGCTTTCAAACTTACAAAAACTCGAGTTGCTTTAACTTTGATATGGAAAAAGATATATCCCCATATAGCTGATTGTCAGACAAATCCCTTCAATTCCACCAAAAAGCAAGTGATAAGCACTAATGTCATAGAGCAAAAGCCATTCACATTAAGACAAAATCAACACGCAAATAAGTAGTAATACAAAAAAAAACGAAAGTCCTACAGATGAACAAGTGCTGCACAGTTTCCAATTTCATCTGGGATTTGACCAGTTAGCTTGTTCCCCTGCAAGTCTCTGTGATTGCGAAAAAAACATACTTTTCAGGTACAAATTCAAGTTAACACATAATTACGTGACACAAGATTTTAAGAGATGCAACCATATCCGCCGAAACAAACATACATAGATTGCAAGTTTCCCAAGTCACCAATGGCCGGCGATATTTCCCCACCAAGGTTCAAGCTGGACAGATTCCTTCAGAAAAAGGGGGAAAATTACTTGAGCAATTATCAGAAAAATGTGGCTAATGAGAGATTAACACAAATATAGAAAAGTGTCTTAAAGCATAGAAAACGCACAGAGATACCACGGTAAGGCTGACATTATCACAGAAAACTCCACGCCAAGAGCAAAAGTCGTCATTGTGCACGTCATCCCAGTCAAGGAGTACGTCCGCCATATTGATGAAGGAAGCCTTCATCACCATTAATGCTTGTCCTGTGCATTTTCAAGGGCATTCAAGTTTCAAGCACACTATATAACCTCACTGACGTATGAATTTATCATTATTAATCCATTATGAAGTTCTACTATTTATGCTTAGGATGCATACAAAAGCACATCATACCACAATTGAAAAAGTATATACTTTTGGGCAAATGAACACTCTAGTATAGAAATACTTTCGAAAAGCCAAGGCAATTAATTTGCCGTAAAGTAATCATAAATAAAATCATTCCTCTGAAAAAAATATATGGGAAATAAATCCAAAAACAATACACTATGAAATAGAAAGATTAGGATAAACTTGATATAATAATAATAATAATAAGTATTATGATAAGAACAAAAATAACAACATAGGCATATAAAATTACGAAAATGGGAAGCCACATAAATAAAAAATATAAATTATGGGAATACGCCGAACAAGAAGAATAACGGTCAAATTTACATAAATCAACTTACACTTATCAAATTAAATATTGCTTAAACCTCACTTAATACATACATAATATAATGTAATCATAATATATGATAAGATTATCTTATGGAGCATATTCCTGTTACAATGATCACATCGAAACAACCACACTAAGCGGCCACAAAATTGAACGACTATAAAATGGGAACCTGAAGACGGCGGTGAATCTCTCCAAAAGGAGGACAAGAGCATTGCTCGATTCTGATTCACGGTGTCTTAACATAACAGGTTTATTTCTTTCTGCGAACAGAAAAGAGCTTTTCCTCGAGGAATGTTTCACCAAATCCAACAACGAAAATATCTACTTAGCCCCCGACAAAATCATCAGAAAACCGAGTGCCAAAAAAAAAAGTACACAAAGAAAATGTAAAAAAAGCTTCACTTCACTTTGCTGTGCAAAAACATCTAAAAAAAGCATCTTAAAGTCCTTTAGAGAGCACAAACGGGGGGGGGGGGGGGGGGGGAAACAAACGGAAACAAAGCTAAATTTTGAGATGCATTTACAGTACCAAACCACAAACAAGTGAGAGAAAGCTACTCAGATGCAGAAAAAACGAGAACAGAATAGATGCAACACAAAATTTTGATGGTGCAGTAAAAGAAGAAAACGAAAAGGACTAAAGGGGTTAGTCAAAATGACAATGCCCACACACAGAGACATACACACGACGCAAAAGCATACCTTCTTCACTGAATGGCGAGGCAAGTGGAGAGAGGAGGAAAAGCAGGAGCAGAAGAGGAACCATGATAGAGCTGAACTTGCTGCGATGGTTAGCTGCATTAGCATAGAACAACAGCACCAAGCCATCATCTTCCATTGCTTTTTCTTCCCACAACACTCGGTAGAAAAAAAGACCAACTATAAGAAAATGTGGTGATTACAATAACATTGTTTGTTTGTTGTTGTTGTTCTTGTTGTGCGCAGAGAGAGAGAGAGAGAGAGCAGGCGTTTGGCGTGAACTGTAAGGGAGACACTGAAGGCAGTGTAATGAAGAGAGAGAATGGGAAACGGCGGTGAAGCGACGTTAGTTGAGCTGACTATCACTGTATATATGGTGGTAGCCGCCGTCATTCGTACTTGCCGTTTCCCAGTATATTTGACAGCTATAGGCTTTAGCTCTTTCCACACGCGCCTGTCCCTGCGTGCACTATAACCTCTTTCTGTTTTCACATTCATGACTGTGATAAAAGGTTAACTCTAGCTACGCGCTCAAAGAGCTGCTGAGACCTCGTTCGAACAATCGTGGAGCATGGAGCGCGTGTTTGTGGCGCGTGTTAGATTAAGATATAAGAACTATAAGATTCCCAAAATGAAAATTACTAAAGCTGTAGTGAATCCAATAAAAACAGTTGACAGTTTACGAGAAAATGTAAATCTGAATGTTTAAGATGAATTTTATACACGTAAAAATTTATTATTTTTAATTAAAAAATATCACTATTAAAATTAAAAAACTTTAATAATTTAATATCAATTATGAAAAAAATTTAAAATATATAGAAGAACACACCATAACAATTTATGAATAATAGTTTTTATTAAAAATTACAACATATTCAAAATTAACACATTTACATACATTAAAAAATTATAATAATATAATATTTTTCATAAAAATCTGACATTTTAAGTTGTTTAAAATTAACTTAAGAGTTAATAATTAAGCTATTTTATTTAATGGGGTAAATAAAAAGATATTTATATGCAACTTTTACATCAATTATTTTTTAAAATGAACAAAATATGAATATAAACATACGTCATTTAAAAATGCTCAATCCGTTCTTGTTATATTGTGCTTTCATTTTTTAAGATAATTAAACCTTAAATCTTTGTAGAGAAAATGAATATTTTTTACTTAAATAAAAACATTACTATTATTAATTTGCATTCATCTAAACAAACTATGAAAGGGTTCAATATAATTTACAAAATAACTGTCAAAAAATAATGTGTATATATATATATTAAATACAATATCATTTTCAAAAAGGTTTTGTCCTTATTTGCCAGGCCATTTTTGGCCATTGAGGTTTTATTTATTTTTTTCATAAAAAGAAAAAAAGGAAGAAGAAGAGTTTGTGGATGTTTGTCGTTATATGAAAACCAATGCATTGTGAGAGCGTCTATAAGTTCCAATCCATTAATGAATATTAATATTATACCTTTATCAAAGATGAAAAAACTTTATAAAATGCATGATGTGAGGAATGGCGTGTGGTTATTGCGTTGATGCAGATGCTACAGTTGTGCATGGCTTCCTAGCTCTTCCTATGCAAACCATATATCAGAATCAGGGATGAAAACTAACAGGCGTGGGCCCACTTTTCTATCCACAATTTTGCCAATCCCAAAATATTTAAATACAGTAAAATGAAGAGGAACTTTTTTTCATTACTATTTTTAAACTTTACTATTCTATACGATCATCGCCCTTGTTAAAATGAAATCATTTAATTGGTATCAAATAATTATAGATAAAAAAAGTATTTTATCCTAGAACATTATTAGGTTAGTTCTACTTACTACCCTCTTACATAATATAATGTAAAAAGTGAGAAAAGATTTACTCAAGAGTGTAGGTACAAAAATAATAAATTTTATTAATTCATCTATTAGTTTAAGTGTTTTTATCCAGCATATCAATTTTATAATATTTTAAAAATTATCTGATACTTTGTGATATCGACTATTAAAATAATGCATTACAACAAACTATATATACAGTTTACGCTTAAATTTAGCATACAGTACAACAATAAAATACTACATAAAGACTAGGTATTTAGAAAAACTGAAAAAGATGTGTGTGTATCTTTGAGAGGACAAACGGTGTTTGGCTTTGGCATGGATTTGGATAGTGGGGTGGGGTTAGACCTTGTTTATTGGGTGAATGAATAATGATAATGAATGCGAAGGCACGAGGAAGTGGAGCTAGACAGTGGCATTACATTGTAGCCATAAGAAAATAAAAAGGAAAAAGCTTTTGAGCGTAATAAAAGGAAGAGAAGGAGATATAAAAATACTAGTAAGTAAAAAGGAGGCAAAAGGATAATTACCAAACGAAGAGAAGACAGTTGTAATTGAAAAGGAATAGGACGCAGCTTTATACGATGCAAAATGCAAACATGTGTTATTGCTGAACTGCGGAAAGCTGCTATTGCTATTACTATATGGCAGATTCATAATCCCTTCAACTTCGTCTTCAAACACCCACTGCGCTTTCACAGACATTGTTGTTCTGCGTTGTTTGCCATCCACCGACAACACAATTATACTGTGCTTTGTTTCAATACGGTTATTTCTAAAACATTAATATAAATTTATAAACACTCCAAACTAAATCCAAACACACTGTAAAATAGCTTCTCAACTTAATTCCACTGTAAACCTTCAACTTGCCTGCATCTTTCCTCCGTGTTCAATTAATTTTACTTGTTCTTTAGACTCATTTTAATTTTCATATTTTCACCAATCAAGTAATTTTTTTGCTTTATTGCGTTGAAGACAAAATCGTATACGTGGCAAGATCACAATGGGAGTGCATCAGGCCTGTGATAATCTATGAATAGCATCAGAGTAGTACTGTCCGTAGAGGCAGAGGCAGTGCTTCAGACCTCAGAGGGAGATTCGGCCGGCACCAAATCCGCCGGTACTCCGCCGTCAGCAGCGTACGGCTGGCCGGCGTGACTCCGTAACGTGGGCCCCGCTCAACCTCAAACAAACTTACATTTTTTTTTAATAGAAAATAAAATAGGCTTGATAATTATAGATCTAATTCTTTGAGTAACAGTTTGACATTAGAGGAATGTTTGTGGATAGTTTAAATAATAAAATTTACATTTTTATACTATTAATATTCAATAATATATTGTAATTTTCAATTTGCCTAAAAATATATAATAAATAATAAATTTTGTTAAAAAATATAATATTTCATGACATAAATATATCAAAAAATTTGAATTTTAAGTTCTATTTATAATAATTAGTAATGTTTTGATCTTAATAATAATAATAATTTACTTTTTAATTATTATTTTTAGTTGTTTATTTATTTTCAAGATCGAATTTAATATAATTTTAATACAAAATTAATATTATTTTTGTTATATGTTTAAAAAAAATTAGATTTATATTGAAATTTGATAAATTGTATTTGTAAGAAATAAATAAATAAAAACTGGCCTCTGAACAGTGCAGATAATGATTCAGTGAGATTTATAAAGCCATCGACTTTTTCCAGCATGTTGCTGCGACATGGTTTAATAAGGGTTCAATTTCCTAGAAAAGTTCGTTAGTCATGTACTCTTCAACAAAACATGATATGGGTCTTCAAAAATAAAACAACAAAATAAGACATAATATGAAAATGTGAAGGAATTTCTAATACATTAAATATTTAAAGATGATTAAAATCTTAATTATGAAAAGGCAATTTGAACTTTAAATATTTTATTTACAAACCATTTTAGAAAAAAAAGTCTTGAGATACTCTCTACTAAAATTCTAGAGTTTTGTTTTCTTTTAAAAAGTTTTTTTAATTTATGAAACATTATAAATAAAAATTAGTAAATAACTAAATAATAATTTTTAATAAATTTGTACCTTTCAATAACGTTAATGCATTAGATTATACAAAGTCTTAAAATTTTTAGTTGTATAAATTTATTATATATAAATTCTCATTGTATTTGACGTTACATAAATTTTAAAAGATTGTTAAAACTATTATCATTTTGAACAAGTAAGATCCGTTTATTTTTCTGACGAACCCTTAAATGATTGATTGAAAATGATTTTAATTGATAAAATGACAAAACAAAGTGTTTTTATTGATATTTTTTACATCAATTAATATTTTTCTAATATAAATGTATCAGTTTTAAAAGATAAATATTATTAGAATGAATGGAATATAATAAATTTCTATAACAATTATTTTTTTTCGTTCAAAATTTTTAATGTGTTCAAAACTGGCATTTAAAAAATAAAAAATAATATTTTTTAAAATTATTATATTTAATACTATTCATGAATTTGTAGGGTGTGATTTTGTGTTAATAATAATTAATAATTAATATATATGTGTGTATTGATGAGTATATAAGAATAAGATAAATTTTTACTAAATGAAAATGTTTAAAAAAATAAAAAATAAAAGAGTAAATCAGAAACAGGCGTCACAGGATAATAAATGTTTAGAATACAACAAAATTTGAATAATTTATATTTGGTAACATGTACAATAACTTTTAGAATACACCCAAAATCATCGTCGTTTGGGGGAACCAGCACTCAGCAACACGATGCTCATCAAATCAAATAATTGTTCGTCCTCTCATGTGTGTGCATCTGGTATATTGAGTCTCGACCACAATGGTGGAACATGCGTCTCTATCTCCTTTACTAAAACAATACCAAATTCCAACTACAATGTGTTTTTACGCAGCAAAAACAGATCAAAAACTTTTGTTGCTTTCTACCTAAAAAAATGGAATTCAGATAAAGGAAAGTGTCCCCACAAAAATAATTCATGGACATTGAAGTACAAGAAGCCTACGGGTTACTCAGATAAAATATTATAAATTTTGTGATTTTAACCTACACAGTATTATTATTAATTTTTAATAATCTTTATAAAAGTCATATCTAATAAAACTCGTTTCAAAATACCGAAACTCTTTAGAAGTGACTTTAGGATTGAAAGGAATAGTTTTTCACCGCTCTCTCGACTTCTAATGCCGTTGGACCTAAATTCTAGTTTAAGTCTTATCTTCTTTTACTTTGACTACGAAACGCGTGTAAAACATGTTTATATTATTTTTAATTAATTAATAATATATAAATATTTATATTCAAGTATTAAAATTAAAATTTAAATAATCCTTAAATTTTAAAAGATGGACTAATAATGATATTTTTTTCGGTAACACACATTTTAAAAAATCAAAATAAAAATACACTTTTTTGTTTCTGGATGGCAATTGCGAATCTCTTTTCAAGATGTTATTACACTTCATTTGTCATTTACTTTTTCGTATTCACCTGCAAAAATCTCACAGCAGATCCACCTCAATGATCATTTCGCAAGTAATTACAAAATGTAATAATTCCAAGTTGAGTGATATCAACTGTTTAAAGAAATTATATGATCAGGAGATTAAATATCATTCTCAAAATTTCGCCTAATATACATAATTGGAGCCTGCGAGTCACCCTGTCTTATAAACAAGTTTTATAAATTCTATGCAATTTAAAATATGTAAAAATCCAAACAACATACATGTACATTCGAATGAAATTTGATTTCACAAGCTGATTCAAATGTGACAACCACATTCAATAAATAATCATTAAAGTCTGCACTTATAATTATTGTCAAATAAATGTTTACTTTATTTTTATGAACCGGAAAAGTAAAAGCAAACATTTATTAGTCAATAATAATTGTAATAATGTTAAAGGTAGTAGCCCAATAACTTGTTAAGTAGGACATTAAGAACATCCCTTTTCAAAAATAGTAGCTAACTAGTCAAACAAAAAGGTCTTACAAAGGAAGCAGTGAAGGACAAGTAGTAGCAGAGTAAGTTGTGGTTGGATTAAATTAAAAGATGGAATTATGTAGAGTTATAAAGTAAATAGTATTTGCATGTCAGTCATTATTTCATAATTTGAAGAAAGAGAAACAGTAGAAGAAGACCAATTCCTCCACTGTTAGAAAGCAAATAGAATTGCAGACGTCAATTCCCAAAATGTGGTTTTCAAACAGAGTATTTGTTTTGTTTGTTTATTTTAAACTTATAATAATGGCCGCAGATGTAGTTGAGACATAAAGGGGAGCGAATAGAAAGTGATTGATAATTGATTGTACACATCATAGGACCCGTGAAGCCCATGCCCCTCTCAACTGCATGCAACTGATGCTGTTTTTGTATAATCATAATGTGATGTGAAGCTATGATACTTTCAATGATGCCCACATATTAAATATTTCATTACACTATCATACATTGGGGGCCCATAGAGGTGGAGCATACATGATTACATATTAATATTATAGTATAATTATATAATCACGTTCTAGTGTAGAATAAGACTTCAGTCCAATATTTTTCAGCACTAATTCCCTACCAATCATGGACATTTTGGGTCATGTGTAACCCACTACTTTGCCATAGCAGAAAATTTAAAATAGATTCATTTATTGTTAATTTAAAAAAATATTTTAAAATAATTTCTTTGATTTAGTTTTCAGAAAATTGCAGGCATCTCGTGTTAAAATAATTACTAATGCGACATATTTATTATATGACAAATTAATATTAAGAATAGTAATAATTTTAAAAGTAAAATAAAATTCAAAAAATAAAATTGAATAAATAATTAAAATAAAATTTAACCATATTTATAAAACAAAATTATTTAAATACAATTACCTCTAAATTAATCAAACAGGTTTTCTAAGGTAGTTAAATATATAAAACAATTAAAACAACTAACTACATAGGCTCAAAAGTCTTATTGAGTTATTGTTCAGTTTATAAAAAAGAAATTTGATTTTGTAGAATTATACTGAATGACAACTCCAACTTGCGGCATTAAAATGAAAGTTTTACACGTTTCATGTATTTTTTTAATAATGCGCTGTATATATTAATTTATTATAATGAAAGACTTTAAATTTTCAAGATTAGTTCACTGTATAAATTTCACAATTTCAATCGATATTTTATTTATGATATAACGGACTGACATTTTACACAACAGAGGGTATTTTATTTAATTTTGGTCATGGACAAGTGAGGTTAGGTGATTTGTAAAGACATAAAAGCCATAACTGTTGGGCCATCTAAAGCTGAGGAAGCCTTGCTTGTGATGCCTTCTAGGGTTTGGCGATTGGACCCAATTTCCTCCAGTAATTTATCTTTCTTGACACACACACACACACACACACAAAACTGATAATTTAGCTTTGACACTGACCAAAGGAGAAACGAAATGTATTTTTGTTTTGAAATTCAAGACATGTTATTTACAATATGAAATTTAAAATAAGGTAATGTTACACAAACATTTCACATAACTAACTGTATTATTTTGAATAACATTAAACAAATCCCTATATGTAAAAAATATTACCCGAATTGATATGTAATAAAAAATTATCTTCTTGGCTTTACAAAACCCTATATATAACCCAATAAATGTTAATATATGATTTTCTCACATGCCATGGTTACAAGTACTGAACTTACATAAAAAATACATTGCGTTTTGAGATAAAGTTTATGTTGAATTTTAATTTAATTAATATTTTTGTGATATTTTTAATTAAGATATTTAAAAAACTTTAATTTAATTAAAAAAAAGTCTAAATATATACAGATATTTGTAAAGCTCAACTATAGACACTAAAATTATTACCCATATAAATCCATGCTCAAATACGTTTCTCAGATGCAAATATAAAAATGAAAAATATTATATCTTATCCAAATCATACTCATTGCCATATTTTAAAAATAACCTATAGATAGTTTAACATCTTTCAACATTAGCTGGGTCCAAACTTGAAAAAGAAAATTGCAATATTCAAGGAACACATGACAAAAAATTCAGGTCCTACAGTATCACAATAATCATCCTTATGAAGTGACTTTCAGCAAATTAACTATAGAGGTTGACCAATTGAAAGGGAATGAAGTTGATGAAAAAGAGGAGACAATGTTTTGTTCTAATTAAGCAATGACCCGAATACAGTATCAATCAACAGCACCTTTTCCATTTCAGTGACTGCAAGAAAATAACCCCTCCTTTGGTGTCTTCATTGATCAGGACTCGGGATCAGCATTATGCCATCCCTTTGAGCAAGGAGGAATACTCATAAACTCATCAAATTCTTTCACATGAATGTCACAGCACTTCCACTGCAAGATAATGTGAGGAAGGGAAAATAAATGTAGTTCTCAGAACCATATCACAGCTACAGGCATTATTTCATTAAAGAAATAAAAATGAACTAAGCACATTCAGTGGAATATTCAATACTGACCCCTCTCATCCGGTCATGAAAGACGGCAGGGCCAGGATGGTAGCTGCAAGCAGTGTCATGATTATCCTTTTCCTTGAATGTTTGACCGCATCCTTTATTTTTACATACCTGGGGCTCATTTATATCAACTATCTTCTTTGGAGGTTTTGGAGCTTGAACACTTGAATTGTTAACAGCAGAGGCGTCTCCAGCAAGATTTACGGATTTGTCTCCAACAATATTTACAGGTTTGCTTTGGGAACCTGAAAATACAAGTGGTACACGAGAAGAAAATTTAGCTTTGGAAGTATGAAATGGGGATTACTCAAAAAATATCTAAGGACTCGAGACAGAGTCAATAGCAGATGCATATGAATACCATGATCAGAGCAAAAGAAACCCTGCCGACACCTTGAACAAGAGTCCTTAGAAGATGCATTGGTTGAAGGAGTTACAGTTGGAGGGGGCATGGTGCTCTTCTTAACAGGTGCAGCTACTTGTTTCTCTGTTGTATGTTTTCCTGTCATACATCTTGATTACAAAGAAAAGAAAAACTTCAATCAACAAATGCAAGGAACATTAAAATAAAATGAAAATGAATAGAATAGTATAGTTAGTTTTTTCTATATATATTCCCAGGATAGCTGTTTAATCACTAGCATCATGAAAACTAATAAACCAACATTTGCAAAGCTGAACCGCTCTCTATGCTCATTACAGAAATTAAGATCTAATACTAAAAAGGTCTGGCAGATACAAATTTACACACAAGCCAGGAAGCACGGACGTGGCAAGACAGTTGTTGTACTGGTGTCAGACACATGTCAAATAGGAATAGATCAATGACACACTCCAATACATGTCCTATTAATTACTAGTAGTTTTAGTGAATATTTAAGATGAGATAATACATTAACTTCTGTAATGATTTTAATATATTATATTTTTTTTAATTTATGTTAGATCAAAGTTTATATGAGATATTTTATTTTGCTATTCAAATATGTTTTTTTTTTCTTGACATAACGTATCCTAGTCTTGTCGCATTCTATTTTTTTCAAATGTGCCACGTCACCATATTTGTATCATGTTGTATCCATATCTCATGTTGTGTACATGCTTCCTTGGACACAAGCATAATCATCTACAGTATATAATCAAGATATTCTGAGGAGCAGCAGATAATTTCACTTGCAAATGTTGTAAGAAAATTTAACAAGGGTTATTGCTAGGCGGATTCCCTCTTCTAATTTCTAAATCATTAATCTTATTACATTTAGAATTTAGAAAACCATATTTTCCTCAGTGAGGAGCATTTTACCTCCACAAGTACCTTCAGAGTATGAATTGGCAATGAAGATTGAACTCTTAACTATACAAATGATAACAAACATTAGAGATTATAAATACATTTCATTATTCTTGAAACGGGGTGGTGATTTCACTATGTAAATTTGTAAAGGAAATCAACCCATGCAGAAGTGGTAAATAAAGTCTATGCAAATTAGCGTAAAACATCCAAAATCCACCATACAAAATTTGACAACCTAACTCATCACTATGTTCCTTTTGCTTTCTCCGTAACAGAAAGTAAACTCCATGATTTATTAATAGATTATAATTCTACTAAAAAAAGTGAACTCTTCAATATTTGCAAAATAGGAGACTAGAAAAAGAAACAGAGAATATCTCTCACCCTGGAATTTGCAAAAACAAGCTAAAATCGTGACTTCTTTTCTTACAGCAACTCCATTCTTTCATCCCATCATGAAATATAGGCTGGAAATTAAAGTGAAAGCGTAATCAATTGCAAAAAAACTGATAACTAATCTTCATACAAAAGGAAACATTGTGAAAAAATAGATTAATAGGCAGGACTTACTCCCTGAACAAATGAAGATGCCCCAGTATTAAATCCAAGTCCCAAACATGCCAGATGGAAAGTGACTCAGTAAGATCCCATAAGATGCCATGTCATAAGTCATCACAATGATGTACCAATGAATAAGAAGTTTTACCAAGTTCAAGTATGCACTTAGTGATGATATTAGCAAAAATAATGATGTTAAAGTGTTCATAGAACATCAATGCACAAACAAAATTTTAATCAGGAGAGTTCGAGAATAATTTCTCAAAAGCTAAACAGTATGGATGGAATACTTGTTTTAAGAAAGTATACAGGACATCGAAACAATTAATTCACTAAATTCATACAAAATCTGGAAAGAATCCATAACAATATAATGTACAATAAGGCCACTAAACAGAATCCTCAAATGGAACCAACTTTTTGGTCTAAGCATCTGACAGGGATAACAAACTAAGAACCATTTTTAAGATAAAATAGATCTTTCTGCAAGAGCTGCTCATTCTTGAATCCATACAGTGCACGCCTAATCAACTATGCCTGTAGGTAAAAATACAGTGCACGCCTAATCAACTATAACCAAATAACATAAAGATTCCAAGGGAATAAGCAATAAGCATACTAGGTACTCAGTATATAGATTTAATAAAATGGAAAATAAACCACACATAAAGAAAAATAGAATCAATTTTACCAATTATTAGGAAAAAAATACAACATAATGATGAAGGGTTGACTATTGACAAGTAGAAATTATCGAGCACTATGACAAAGTTTATTTTTTTGGCACATAATAATCCAACAAAACTACAAGATCATTAATAAATTCTTAACATTGGGTTTGCGCCCATTACCGCAAAGATCACAAAAAGTCAGAATTATGGTGCCAAGCAGTGTTTTAAACTTCGTGTTTTAAATTGTGGAACCGCATGATTTTGAGATTTTTTGGTGCCCTTGCAATCCAGAACACAAGCAGGCTTGTACTCCAGTGGAATCGTCGAGTTTGAGCGTGAAATCATGAGCTTGGATCAACTTGCATGATTCCATGAAAACGCAGGCACCAGAAGGGGTTTCTTGACTCAATTGACAACCCTTTTTGAAAAATATATATAATCTCCCAATTGGATACAAAGCCCTCTCCCATTCACAAACAAAGTTCTTGGTGACTCTTCCTTTCCAAAGACCCCAACCAAAACCCCCTGTTCTCTCAATTCTCACCTTTTCGCTTTGGTTTGAGGCTCAGAAGAGAGAAGTTTCTCTTCTCTCACATCAAGTGCCCCTCCTCCTCTCTTCTCTGTTTCTGATTTTTTGTTTTTTATATGATAAACTTAAGTGAGTAATTATGACTTATGGGTCGTTTCGGACGTTATGCTTACGAATTTTCAGTTTTAATGAATATGATTTTGAGGTTATTTTCATTATCTACATTATTTTCTATGCGTTTGTATATGTTTAAATATAATTTTGCATTTTTAGTAAAATCTTATCATCCATGTCATGTTTCTACATTTACAATCTTTCATCCCCTTCACAATCCCCCAAAAATATCGATTTTGACAATATTGGTGCCAAGTGTCCTCACCCTAAAGTGTTAGTTAGAATTCCCTTCCCAAGTTCTTGGACCTATACATGTGTATGTGTGCACTTTCAATCAGGACCTAAGAGAGTGAAAGACCAGGAAAATGATTTTCGGTGTCTCAAATAACTTAAGTCATTTGTCAACCTAAATCATTTTGTTCAGTGATTCTATGGATCCTTGGCCAAAGTACTAAATGTACTAGTCTCGGTCTCCCTGGCCATACGTGTGTCACTGAGCTGAAATACCATATCTCAATACTTTCAAAATAATAGATGTGAGTAATCCATTTTAGAGAGAAAAGTGAAAAATCTCAACCGTTATTGAGAAAATCAAAGGAGTAAATTTCAAGAAATCCAGTTCAGAATTTATTATGCATGTGAATATCATATCAGATGATATCATGAGTAGGCAATATCTTCCATTTGATTTTTCCATCAATGATGCAGATTTCTTACTTTTTCCTCTAAATTGAACTTTCACTAAGCCAAATCCCGCAGGAACAGGCACAAACTTAAACAAAACCAAGATCTCAAATCACTGAGATAACAAATACAATATAAAAGTTGCAAGAACAGAGTTGAACGCTGCCCAATTTACAGAAAGATCAATTAATTCAATAACGATGCAAAAAGTGGGCATTTGAAAAGTGAAAGGCTTGAAGTGAAGGGGGAAGAACACATGCGTGAAAAAGGTGGAAACTTGGGTACATGTGGGTACATGGGTGTGTGTATTTGAGAGAGAGAGAGAGAGAGAGTACCGAATGATGGTATCGACAAGAACCTTCAGTATTGTCGTCCTCGGAGAACATAGTGTCGCACCCAATTCTCTGGCATCGAACTTTAACTCCCATCTCCATTCTCAAAATCGACACGATCACTGTCGTTTTGTCTTAGACAGTTTCAGGTTCAAGCACAATGGAAAACCTGGAGCGTTATTGTTGTGGTTTTATTTATCAGACTCGCCAAACTCAAACGGGTTGGGCTTTGAAGCTGTTCAGGTAAAATAAATAACGAAAAAAAAAAAACAGATTCTTCTCAGTTTCCACTCCAACTTCCAGCAGGTTCCAGTCTGAGTAAGCATGTAAATCATGCCAACAGTAGTTTCAATTATAAAAAAAAAAAAATGGTGACTTTCGAATTTATTATTTTCAAAATTTAAAAAAAAAAATTGTTAACATCGACAGCTAGGAATGAGGATTTAGAAATTTAGGGAAGAAGATAAATAATTAATAATAATAAAATTTTATTAGAAAGAGAAATATTTATTATAATTTTATAATTTTAATATAATAATTATATAATTTTTTTATAAAAAAATATTTATAAATATTTAAACTCAATTTTAAAAATTAAAGTTAGTAAAATTCATATTTTAAAAATATTAAATTAATAAAATATTATTTTTAAATTGATCGGAGGCGTTTGAATTTGATTAAAACAATTAAGCTTGAACTTTCACTTGATTAGATAACTATTTCACTTTATCATGTCTTTTCTTTCACTCATTTACATAAATTTACGATTTCTTTACCTTTACCTTGAGTTATGATAAAATAAATAATAATAATAATAATAATAAATAAAGCATTTTTTGTAAACGGTGGAAATAAAACATGGATTAGGTTTTATGTATTTTCTCAATAATTTAAAACTCGTTTGGAATTGTGAATATTTATGCCGGTGAAGATTTAAGAGTTGAGCAAAGCTTCCATACAAAATTTTGAACCTTCGTAATGCAAAAAAACAAACTTTGGAGTTCAAGTAATGTTGCATCATTGAAATAAATATTTATCAAAATGCTGCATGTAAATCAAATGCTCGGGGATTAATCTTCTTAATAATTTTTTTGTAAAACCTATTTTAGTTACTTGTATGATGCATATTTGAGTGGATCGAGACTGCTTTTCCAATTTGGACAAGTACGTTTTTTTCAACAATGACATGAGTCTAGCTATGGGCTTGTGGCCTCCACTGCATCAGGCCCATCAATAAATGCTGTGTGCTGGGTATGGGTAATATATAGTCACGCTATTGGGCTAAGCTCATTTTCAGGATAATGAACAACTAATGGATTAAAAATGCATTTCATCTATCTTGACCAAAAATTTGCTAAGTATGGAAGCATTTATTGACAAAAAATAAAAATAAAAATATCAAGTTTTCCTACAAAATTTTCCATCTGTCATGAGCAGCGTTTCTGGAACCTTACTGATTTTGAACCAGCGAGGAGCGATTATCGAGATTTTTTTAAGTTTGTATGGGAGTTGATCAGATGAACATGTGTTTTGTAAATTATTATTATTATTATAAAAAAACGTATTTCCTTTAAAAAATAAAAAAATCGAATTTTCAACTCATAAATATACAAATATGTAATATAAACGATTCATCACATATTTATAATATTTTATTTTTTGTTATTTTTTTTGTATAATTGAAACATGCAACACAATGATAAGAATCGTGTTCTTGGTTGGGGGAAGCCAAACACAATAAATTGTTAGCAAGCTCGGTACCTATAGATGCTGGCCACCGGCCTCTGACTCCCTCGCAACAATAAATTTATTTTTAAAGATTATATATATTAAATCTTCTTTAATTTATGACGTTTTAGTTTTTAGACAAAACAAAACTACTAATTTTTTTAACATATTTTTAAACTTATTTGATATTTGACTATTTAATATGAGCAATCTATTAAACAAAGATTGAGTAAAAAGTAAGTTCATTCATATTATTTTAAAAATAAAAAATGATATACAACTATAAGATTCATATAAGCTTTAAAAAAAATACTATTAATAAAGATAAAACTTTCTTCAATAATAAAAAATATTTATATAATTATAAGACTATAAAAAATTATAAAATAAAAATTAAATTGTTTAAATAAGTAGCTCTTAAAAGTTTTGAACAACATTAATTACACCTGTTGATAAACGAAACAGTAACAATGATATTATAAATGCAAAGTTTTTTGAGGTACAGTATTATAAATACTAGGTTTGATGGTTGTTCGCTTTGATCTGAATTGTCCAACACAGTTATATTATTTATTAGTTTATTAACTTTGCTGTTATTGTTTGCCGCATTTCCCTTAAATTAAGGCCTTTTATTTGGACGGTTAACGAGATCGAATGTAACCATGACTTTGATTAAATTGCCTGGCCCTAATATCATGCGCCGAGGAGATTAAACTACCAATTTGAATAACCAACCCAAACATTTAATAATAAACTCTCATAGATTCAAAGTGAACATTGATGTATAAAGTTTCAATAATTTCTCGCCTAAATAACGTAGCACTTTATAGATATCATATTCTTATCTTTAGAAATAAAATAAAATTTTAGGTTAAAAACTCGTCCATAAAAAAAATGCTAGAAATTTAGTCCCACCACACTGTGGTATGTGATTTTTTTTTTCTCAATCTCTGTACTTTAATTTATGCACAATTTTAATCTATTTATTTTTAATTGTTTGTATTTATTTTTTAATTTTTAAATTAAGTTTCGTATGTGAAATTTTTTTAAATAATTAACAAATATATAATAGAGCCATGCATTATTGATTTTTATAAACTAATAAAAATTATATAAAATAATAAATGAAATGCATAAAAGATGATAAAAATTATTCAATTATTTTATATTTTTGAAATTTTATTTAAGTTGATAATATATTAACTTTATTAGTTTTTAGATAAAATCTAATTTAAATATTTAAAAATATAAAAAATTAAATATGTACAATCAAAATTAGAAAAAAAAAACTAGAATAATACGCAAATTAATATGGAGACTGAAATTGTAATTAAAAAAAGTTATGGAATACATTAGTGGGGGATTTTTTTTTTAAAATCGACATAAGCGGGGACCTAGATGCATTTCACAAGACAGAAAGTAAATGGGTCTCACCCAGATGGGTTTCGGATTTTCACTTTTTAAAAATTTGTCTTACTGGAAAAGAATAATTTGCCCCATTTTTCTCATATGCGAACTCATCGATCAGTGTAGAAATCTAAATTACAAAACTCCATTTTAGATTTAAAAAATCTTAAAAGATTAGTTGAATTGATAAAGATTATCTTACTTTTAATTTATAAATACACTATCATGCCTAATTTTGGTTAAAGAAAAATTAAGTTTTTAAAAAAATAACTTAAAGAGATTTTACTATTAATTTTTTTGTAAAGACTATTTTTTGGTAAAGTATTTTTTTTTTTGGTTTTATATGAAAATCCAGAAGACATGTACAACAAAATGAAACTGAAAAATAAATAACTGTGTGAAAAAAAAACATTAAAAGATCAATTCATTGTCAAAATAATAATTCAAATTTCATCATATATGATTATTTGGAAAGAAAATATATATAATAATTGTATAACATTATTTGATGCCAATGATGACGACTTGAACACCCTGTACCTCCAACTCATTCACGACATGCTAATGGAAAATTAAAAAGAAACCGAGGGATCAATCCAAGAACAAAACCCAATAGGGTGCTGCTACCTTGCATTTCAAATTCAAAGTTCAAAAGTTGTTGAAAGCAAATAAAGCGCGTTTTGTCTGCTCTAACAGTAATTAGCAGTTTGCTTAGACCCGCAACCTACCCATCTACCAAAACCATGAAAGCGGATTTGGAATTTTTCATATTCAAAGGATGTAGGTTTGTTTTTTTTTTTTTAATGAACTGGAAAATAGCTGGCTTGCTGGAAAAGTTGGACTAATTTTTATTTTCATCCAAGACAAAATACGATGTTCTGTTATGTTGTGATGGATGAAAATGACTTTTTCTTAGATCGCTTCCGGAAACGTTGTTAATCTTTTGTAGTACAAAAGGATAGAATAAACTTTACAGAATGGTCATAAATATATTTAATGTTCCAGGTATTTTTTTACAGAATAATATATATATATATATATATATATATATATATATATATATAATGTTTTTTTGCTTTAGTCTCATTTTTTGATTTTTTTTTATTTTCATAATTCTTATTAATGTAACTTTATTTAAAAAATGTCATATAATAACTTGTCCAAATATAAAAGATTATTGAGAGAGATATATGACAAGATTTGTGATAAAAACAAGCGCAAAACTGAGGATTTAGATCACTATGAAACTTTAGCTCTATTAGTTAAATTCACGACTATCAGACTTCTTTTAACCACAGCATCTTATCATAATTGATATCTACATCAATTGAATGTTAGCCATGCATGCCTCCGTGAGAATATAGAGAAGGAAGTGTACATGAAATTCTCCAATTCAAAATTGAGAATATATTTAAGTTTTTTATTATTAAACCTAATTAAAAGTTCATTACAAATAATGTTAATCAACATCAAAATTGTGGTATTATGATCCAATTGAATTTTATATGTGAAAGAGATTATAGAAAAGATTTGCATACTCAAATTGTCAAAGGTTTACACCTCACAGCCAGCACAGTAACTCTTTTATGTTTGAACGGAAAGGGGTACGTGCACACGAAACGAACGCATCTTCCACTGGGAACAGCACATATGGGGGGCACCAACGTTGTCCGCTGCCCCAATGCTACGCACCGTTCAGTGCCCATGTCACCGCCGCACCTATCATTACATGTTCATGGCCAATGGACCGCGTCTAGAACCATTAATGTGATTAGAAACGACCTCGTTTTTAATTCAGCAGCACTTGTCGACGTGGGGGCCCATTAATAATACCTCCACGTAGCAGGACCCTTGACGCAAAAGGCACACTTTCTAGGCGAATCTCGATGGTCCAACATAGATACAGTGAATTTAATTAACTTTAATTATTGTGTTTTCTCTGGATTCCTAACATGATCGCATGTAACCAATGTTTTCTTTTATATTCTGCCCAACAATTTATTTTTATTTCAATCTTATCTGAGTTATCTCTCCCACTCTCTTTCATAAAAATCATCCATCATTAATTAACACTTATCATATATTCAGTTACATTTGGAAACCTAATAATAATTAAAGTTTAATTTTAATGTAATGTCATTATAAACATACACTGTATAGTAGATATAATTATAATATTTATTATA